CTTTAAAAGCAATCACAGCAGTCGGTTTTGGCCCTTTTTATCTGCCTGTTTCAACAGTTTCTGTAGAAAGGCTTTCTGACTCATCTAGCAAATAAAGTGCTGAAGTTTTTCCCCTAAGAGCAAGGATAAGGATGAATGGAAATTCAAAGTGGCCAAATTGTCTCATGCACTAGAGGTGGCTTCATCTCCCAACGTGCCCAGGCAGAGAGCACTGGCCCCTGAAGTGCTCCAGTACCTCGTTTGAACCATGAGAGTAAATGTTAATTAAGACTCATCCAAAAGGAAAACTGGTAATAATAAGAAATGCTAACATATATTTAAATAATTTTTTTTTATACTTTCAACCTTGTCTGTAGTTAATGAACAAGAAAATCTGGTCTAAGGGCAAGTTAAAACAGGGAGTAATTTGTCTGGGTGACATCTGAGTTAGAACTGCATTTCCTTAAACTGATATTACACTGTCATGTTTGTCACTCATAATGACACATTCCCATGTAACAGTGTGATGAGAAGGCAGAACAACACTATTAGTAAAGAGAGATTTACACAATATTAGCATATGATTGTTCTGTCTTCCCTCCATGTAGTAGTACCTGAGCTTCAGTGCTGCTGTTTTTTCCCCATGTGAGGATAAATTAGAGTTGCTGGCTCTGATTTCCCCAGCAAAAATATCACGGCATCAAAATGCCCAAACCCTCAGAGGTTTTACTCAAACACCAGGTCTGCACATGGACATGCCCAGATTCTGGTCTAGGGGTTGCTGTCCCATAGAACTGGTTCTCACCCTCACTCCTGGATCAGAACAACAGGTCAGGCAGAACACTGGGGATGAAATATCACTCTGGAATTTTTCCAAACCCAGCACAAAGCAGTGAATTAACTCCTCCTGGAGCTGGGATCTGTGAGAACAGCACTGCACAACCTCTGACCAGCAGGCACAGGTCAAAAGGATAACTGAGGTCAGGAGTTTCTGACACAGAGAGGATCTTAAACCACATCTGAGGCTGAAGCAGAGCTCCTGAGGGCACAGGCACAGAGATGGGAGGGAGGGGAAGAGCTACCCCAGGATTTACCCCAGCTCTCACCCCACACAACCCACCAGCAGCAGGCTGAGGTGAAATATTCCCCATGGCACATCTTCCCATGGATTGGCAGAGCTGGGGCATCACCTTTCCAACACAGAACTTCCCAAGCTGGTTTCTCACCACATGTTGTGGTGAAAGCCTTGCAGGAGCTGCTGTGTCCTCCTCTCCCCCATCCCAGCCCGACCCCAGAACTCATCAGGAGGGCAACAAACTCCAAAATGAAAACTTGATTTCCTTCCTAAGGGTTACAATGACAAATGTGGCAGCAAATCCCAACAGCCAAACAAAGGAACAGGAGCTGGAGTTTACCTGGTATGTTAAGTGAATAATCATTTCAATGAGGCTGAGATATAAATATAAATATATATGTCTGTATGTTGCACTGTGCCTTCCATGATCTTCATTTCTATCTGGTATAATTAACAATAAATCATTCTAGGGGCTTGCAGCACCTGTTATTACATAAATAAAACACCAGCAAAGGAGCTTGTCAAGACTGATTTATGTGAAGTGCTGCTCTGAAGTTTATTGGATTTCCATAATAAGAAATCATACCCTATCAGTTTCTTTTACATTCATCTTCTGGGTTGCATATGATAATTTCTAAACAAAAACACAACTTAGTGCAGGTTAAGAGTCTCACAAATTATTTATCAGATAAATCTGATGCGTTTTAAATAGATGGTGAAAGATAAAAAAAGAGGTGCCATTTTGTCAGGACAACAAATTTAGCTGTTTTAAGTCAGTCTTTCAAAAAGCAGGTTCTCAGAAATAAGTCAAAGTTTCTTAAAATATCCCTGACAGAACTGTTATTTATAAGGAAACCCTTTGGGAGAAAAATTCAAAGTGGACAAGGAAAGTATTTTCTAAAATAGATGTGCAATACAAAGAGAAAAGAATCAGAAGAACATAACTAAAATATTTTGGGACTAATCTAATTCAGAAGGAAGAACTCTACAAGTGCAACTACAGACTCCTCAGGCTGCTGAGTGATTAAAGGGGGTAATTAAAATAGATGGCAAAGCAGTGAAGTTAAATGAATTTTCTGCATTAGTCTTTTATTATAGATAAGGGGAGAGAAATTCCAATTCCAAAAGCTCTTTGATGATTTTTGACCTTAACAGGAATTTGAGTCTCTGAGAAGGATGTTAAGGAACAACTCAGCAGGCTCTGGAGTGGTGAGCCAGCAGGATCAGGTGGCATCCATCCCAAGGAAAGGCAGGAAATAAAATGGAACACAGGTAGGAATCTGAAGAGGATGTGCAAGAGAGACTGAACTGCAACACTGATCAAACAGCATAAAAATCTGCATCACACAAAACCTTTAGGAAAGGAACCAAAGGACTCAGATTTCTACACTCTCCTCAGTTCTGTGAAGCACTGAGAAATAACACCTGACTTTGCAGAAGTCAAAGTGAGAACAACAGGGAAGGATTTAATTTGGGTGCAGAATTTCCTCTTGGATTTCAGCTCGTTACACATTCAAGTGTGTGTATTTGAACAAGAAGGAAAGTTCTGGCACTGTTTACTTAGTAAGTATTACAGGGCAACATCTGAGATCTTAATACTGTTTTACTCCTGCCTGTTGCAGGATGAGAATTGATGCACTCTCTGAAACACACGAAATCAAACAGAAGTGGAAATCAAATAAAAAACCCCAAAGCAAGTGGTTTTGATAAGCTAATGCTACACAGGGAACGTTTTCCCTTCTAAGAATGCAGGCATTTGAACCTCAGTTAAAATTCTGAATGGAAGGACCAACAGCCAGGTCAGGGGCCAGCTGAGGAAGTCACAATTCCAGCTGCTGGACCTGACTTGAGTGGTTTCCCACACAGAACATTCCCTGGGATCCCCTTCAAGGCACCACCCAAAAGTTCATCGCTGAAGTTCCGTGGCTCAGAAAACGGGTTGGTGTTTGAAAGGAACTTTGAGCTACAATCAGCCTCATATTGTGATCCCTGAATCTGTTTTATCTCCTGTTTTAGGCACTGAGTAGCCCAGAAATAACTGGGAAGGCTGTTCCTCCCTGCAGGAGTTGTACTCACTGTGTTGAGGGCGTTCAGGGTGGTGTCGTCACGGGAGGCAGCGACACAACCATCCTCTGTGGATCCTCCATCACACATCCCTGCAAAGGCTGCCATGCTCCTGTGGAGTTTGAGGGCAAAAGAGTTGACATTCCTCAGCTGCTTTTTGATGCACACATCATGAGAGGCATAAAGAGTGTATTTACAGCTTAAATCATGAATTTCGGGGCCTCGTGATACTGTGGGAATGAGGCACCAAACGCTGGTGGTTCTGGAAAGCTGAGTCACCTCAGCATATGGAATAATTGTTTCATAATTAAAATCCAATCTAATTGGGTTCCATCAGTTAAAAATCTGCACTGCAGTAGTACCAGAGCCTGATGAGCATTAAGGAAGATACAACCTCCACACGTGAGAACAAAGTCTCAGGAGAGACAGCAAACTTTTTGCTGTCATCTTAGTTTTATGTCAAAAAAACTAAAGTGAATTGCAGATTCCCCAATCTCTGAATTCCTGCAAGCTACAAGTAATTTACTAAGACTTTGAATTACTGTGAATCTACCAGGCAAACCAGAGATGTGTATGGAACTGAAATGCAAACTGGAGCTCCAAACATTCAGTCTCTGAAGGAATCCTGTGCTGTCACAGCTCTTCCACTCAGAGCAGTTCCTTCCCTCCTTCCATGATGCCCATCCCACACTGGATCATGCCAGCACACACTGCTGGCTTTGCATTTGAAAGCCAAAAGCCACAGCTGATGCAAAGATGCCTTGTTGGCCCAACAGCAAATCTGAGCATTCAAAACATTTCAGCAGCCACATGATCCCGAAAGAGAATAAAGGAGGGATCAGATCCCACTGCAGGGACACAGCACCCCACATTCCCCCTCCAGCACTACCCAGGCACTGCAGGATCGTGGCTGGAATTACCTGGCTGCCCTCAGGTACATGAGCAGGTCACAGTCGTTGACTCCTGGCATCCACACGAGCTCCTCGTGCTGGGTCACCGTGTCACCGTCCGGGGAAGGGAAGGGCTGCAGGTCAGGGAGCTTGGCCTGGGGAAAAACGGGGTTCAGACACACATGACAGTTCTTCCTCATGGTAGGAAGCTTGTAAATCCTCTGCAATACTATGATCTCATAGATGGAAGATACTCAGGCAACAGGTGGTGAAGCTCTTTGATCCAAGTTTTCAGAAGTTTATGAGGAAACTGGGTCATCAAGCCCCAACCTATTCCCTTTATTCAGCATTTCTCCCTCCAGAAGGGCAGCTCATTTCCTGACAATTATGCAGGTTAACACCACTTCTCAGCCCACCACGCAGACCAAGCATGTCTGCAGAAATATCAGGGCTTGAAAGGAAACCATTCTGTACTGCAAACACAGCCCTCTGTTGTACAGAAGTCAAACACTGATGGACAATTTATCCTCGGAGACAGAGATTGCATTTGTCACAAAGATGCTGCTACAACTCTGCTTGCCAGGCTATAACATACTCACAGAACATACTAATAAGAGAGGAGGCAAGAATGTAGCTACCATATGTGCCCCATTTTAAATCAGTAAAAAAACCCCACACATGTGATACTAAATTTAAAATTAAGTCCTCGGTAAATCATTTAAACTCTAAAGAGAAACAAAGACATTTCCTGAAAGCGAGATAGCTCAGCAAAATGAACCCTGCCACTAAATAAGTATTACACTCTATCCAGAGACCCAATTAGCATCTTTAGTCATCTACTGCTATGAGATGAGATAGCTGAGAGCCTCTTCAGAAACAGCTTTTAAGCCCTATAATTACCTCCTATACTTACAACGCTAAACGTATTTGAGAGGCAACATTTCTACATAACCAGTAATTACAAGTCACAGGTTCAGATGTCTTTCATGTTCTGCTCTTTAATCTGTACTTTATTTTACTTCTTGCCTGGGAAAATGGATATGTCATTGAACTCCTCTTCTGGAAAAGGATAAGCCAGCATTATCCCCAGCTGAGGGTTCTGGAGGAGTGATGCACTCCCAGCAGCCGGGGGGGCTTTGCACAAATCCATGTTCAGCCTCCTGTACCCTTGGAATGTGCTTAATTACTGGAGTCACTCCCAAAAGCAACTTCCTCTTGAGCACAGAAACACTGAGGTTGGAAAAGACCTCCAGGATCACGGAGTCCAACCTGGGACCCATCACCACCCTGAGCACTGAGTGCCACGTCCAGTCTTTCCTGAAACACTTCCAGGGATGGGGACACTCCACCACCTGGGCATTAATTAGCCAAAAGTTGTCACAGGAGAACATTCAGTAGAGACCCTCTGTCCTCCTGTGCCTGTGAATCTGGAGAACTGCAACTCCACAGCACATTTATCTTCACTGTGTCCTTGTCTGCTGTGATGACACAGGCAACACTTTGGGGTATCTGTGCACTAAGTAAAAACCAACCCAACAACAGCCTCCAGCATCTCTAACACACACAATTTAAGGAAAATGAAGGCAAGAGATTCATAAAAAACTACCCCCTGGGGACCTCAGGGTTGTTTCTGGATTCTGCTGCATGTCCTTTGTGCTCACTGAGGTGGGTGGAGGGAAGTGGATCCATATCCACTCCCTGAGTTCAAGCCCGGGGTGCACAGGAGACCCTCTCACACCTTCCACAGATGGAATCAGACAACAGGACAGAGAGCAGCCAATACCACCTTCAGCCTGATTTCCCACCAGGGCTACCACAATCAACCATTCCTGGATCTTAAGGTGACCCCTTACACTAATTAACAGGCTGAGAACAACCCTCTCAGTGGTGACATCTGTCCAGGTGAGGGAGAGAACAATGCAAGTTTAAAGCATTAAGCAAGCAAGGATTTAACAGTATTCTAAATCAGTGGACCTTCTCCCTGCTGTTTTTTTTTCCCCCATCCATAAATGCATCTGGTAATTACACCTTCCAGCACAGGTGACTAATGCCTGCCAAAATATTAGATGACAATTTGAGATGAAAGTTGTTTGGAAGGTACCATTTACAGTGCTCTTATTATAACTATTGAAAAGAACAGCACAGGTTGAATTGCCAAGGACGTTTTTCCTCTGAAGCAAAACATCCTTAAGAATGTTCCATAAATATTTACTTTCACTTGTTATTAAACAACATTTTTAAAAAGGGTCTGAATGAATATTCATCACTTGGATGTGAAAATCCAGTACTTGGACAGTGCAAAGTCAATTCTACAAGTAAAGGAGAGGATTCAGTTCCCAGTGACAGATCTGGCTCCATGAACCACAGTAAGTTGTATGTTAATGCTCTTTAGGAACAGATTATTTTCATTGCTTATGAAGGATTTCCCTCAAATTAGCACTAAAATATCAGGCACAACTACAGTCTTAACCTTATTCTGCTTCCCAGTGTTGGAACACACTCACCTTTCTCAATTCCTATTTTAACAATCCAAACGACTTAAGGCACTTTTTAATTTGCAGTAGATACTCACAGTGCTTCAATCTTATTCAAGAATTAACCCCACAGCACTTCTGCTAGCAAAAATCATTAATATATCAACATCTGTCAGAAAACCCTGGGCTCAGGAATTCTAAAGGACTCACTAAAGTGAGTCATCTAAAGATGATTCTAAAAAACTCGCCGGATTTGAACATATGTAATTTTAAATAAGCATCATCTGAACAGATCAAGAGGCAAAAGCATGTCCAGATGTTGGGATACAAACAAAACCCCTTACCTGATGGCTGGGTCCAACTCTGATTTCACCTTGGGTACTGTTTAGCCTCCTAAGATATTAAAAAAAAACCAGCAATGAGAAAGAATTGCAATTAATAAAATTCAGGGTCATGTTCTGTCATTTTTTTTCATTGTGTTTCCAATGCAAATGGAAGAGAAGCAAAAATAAATGTTATTAAGGAAACAAGGGGGGATATAGTCAGGTGTACACTGAGCAAGCAGGAGCTGTCCCTGCCCATGGCCAACTCCAAACCCTGCCATGCAGAGTCACCTTCCCACAAGCACCTGATTTGGACAAATCCTATGATCCTTTACTTGTTTCAGCCCCAAACCCAAACTAATGCAGACAACATGCCCAGTATTATCCCTCAGCAAAACCACCACTGGGCAGCCCAAACCAGGAAATCCCATT